TGACACCTGGCAATGTTCAACTGCCCTTCAAAGAAAGATAAGCATGCTCTCTATCAAGCCAATTTTATAATTCCATGATTGCATTTATTAACAGACTACATAGAGAATGTCTACACTAAAATGAAATGTCTATTTTTTCCATCAGGATCAAAGCCAAAACCAAATTATACTTCTTGAAAATGTAGGCAAGTTTTCCAAGAGTTAAACATAACAGATTTACCAGCAAAAGGCAGGAAGACTGAAATTATAATTTGAACCAGGCAAACTGTTTCATAACAGAAAATGTGGTACTTAATGGTGTCTGCAGAATATGGTATGCTAGAAACGCTACTTATGGCAGTAGCAGGCCCCTAGAGAAAGAAGCTTGCCAAACAAAAGAATTCAAAACAGGTAGGGGGAAAGCAGCCATGTCAGCATTACAAAGCCACAAAAGATTGATACAATTTTTTTCTGAATTACAACTTCTTCACCATTTGGTCTAAAAGCACAAAAATTACGTAATATAAAAAACTGGAAGGAGGTACATGTTGAATCAAGGCTGTATCTACACTAGTTAAAATTTAATGAGACGTTTTAAAATGCATGTTACTAACACAGTGGCTGTTCCAGCGGATCACAGTCTTACCTACAGCTCCTTCTAGAACAGGTTTACTTTGGGTTCCTTAGATGGGTTAGCCAGTTGGTAGGACAAGACTAATGCTTTTCTACTTTACATAAATATGAAAACTCAAACTGAAAAGTCCTGACTCAGTTCCTGTGCCATAGTTTAGGTGAGAACGCCCCCCACCCCCAGGTCCATATATTTGAATGCTTAGTCACCAGGGAGTAGCACTGTTTGAGAAGGATTAGGAGGAGATGTGTCCTTCTTGCAGAAAGTGTGTCACTGGGAGTGCGCTTCAGGGTTTCAGAAGCCCCTGCTAGACCCGATCCCTCTCTCCCTTTGGATCAGGGTGTAGCTCCTAGCTACTTCTTCAGAACCATACCTGCATGCTACCAAGCTCCCCATCATGATGATAATAACTAAACCTCTGAAACTGGAAGCAAGCCCCCAGTTAAATGCTTTCTCTTATAAGAGCTGCCTTGGTCATGGTATCTCTTCACAGCAATAGAACAGTGGCTAAGACATCCTGATATGGTAACTAGGTGAAAAGAGCACAAGAAACCTGAATGCAGGTTAACTAGAATATCATTAATCTTTCTTTTATAATTCTATGAGTTCTAAATTCTGATAGCTATAAATACTGAAAGCAATAAATACTACTAACAATAAAAGATAACACTCATCAGTACAATACATTCCTCCAGTTCCTCAGTGTTAACTGAGACTTTGTCAGCAAGTTACTCAACACTTTCCAGAGTATTCTACAAAAGCTGGACATGTGATGTTCTTCCACATCAAACAACTAATGAAAGATGCCTGGCTAACAGGCCAACATGTAATTAACTCAATATATTTGGACATCACAAATGGGTCAGTGAATCCATGATGATTGTCAACATTCACATGCCTGTTAATCACATACAGTCTAAAAAGATAGCAATGGCCTCCAGTTTCTAAACACTGGCTGTATACAAAAGCTTGGGATTAGAAGCGGCTTTTCCATCACTTACCTGCACCTGTTGCAGATAACCCACTGGAGTAACTCAGAATAATTCTGTTGTCCACATGACATCCTACCTTACCTAAAGGATGGTTCCTATGTCTACTTTCAGTCTTCTCTTTTAGTGTACTGAGTGCAGGTTGACTTTTATAATTCTATCAGTTCTAAATTCTGTAGTGACAAGCCTTAAACACTCTTCTAAGACATGGTTTCTTGGGGGAGGGCAGAGGCAGAGGCAGAGCAGGTAGAGTAGGTACTAAGGAGTGGACCAAGGGCCCTTTGCAAGCAAAGCAAACACTGTGCCACAGTCATATCTCCAGCTCTCAGTTTTGAGACACCTTTCCCATCTTTTGTTCCTCTGGAATTCATAACACTTGGGATGTTATAATTGTAAAAGATATTATCAAAATTATGTTACTATTTTAATAATCATGTCATACTATTGCTCAATTGCTCTAAGGTAAATATCAAATGTTTTCTAGTGTTAGTTTCATTTCGGAATATGACACAAGAAAATGTCAAACTCCTAATTTCAAAAGTATTCTAAGGAAATTTCAAGGGATCTTTGAACTTTTGAAAAACGTCCTCATTGACTCTGGAGAAGCAAAGCCCATATCTGAAAGCCTGGGACAAGGAACCCCTGTTAAAGGAGTAAGCCCCATTTCCCAGAGTCAGGTTTTAGGTCTAAGATGACTTAACCCCTATGTGCCCTCCCTGTTCACCACCCTTCCTTTCTTAGACCCTAAACCCAAGCCCTCTGTACATAGCAGCCACCCACACCCCTTCCTTACCTACTTTGAGGACTCCAGAAAGCCAGTCAGGAAGTTAAAGCCCTACTTTACAAGGGAGCAGATCCCAAAGCCCTTGTCCCTGCCAACCACATAGTCACACACCCCACCCCTTCAGCTCTGGCCAAGATGGTTCTTCCACATCTCCTAAGGAACCTTTCCAGGAGGGGTGGAATTGAAAAGTTTTGTTGTAAAAATCAGCTGCTGCCCCTGCCCCATGTGGCAAGACTGGCCTGACATAAATTTAACCACATCCAAGGCTGGAGACCCTAAGCAATTTGGGGGATACTCAGACATGCCCTGGGGAGTCACATCTTATATATAACCCTGCTCTTGTTAGTCTTAATGATAATAAAATATATACATGTCTAAGGAAAAAAAAGAAAAAGTCTATCATTTTAAACCTATTTGATCTTCTTGAAAAGCATACTGTTTCCTTACATTTTAAATGAAAAAAAAAAATCTGTGATTTTTTTGCTACTGTCATTCTTTTTCTTATTGTGGGAAGTTCCCCATGTACTAAAAGAAAAGAAAATCAGCTTCCATAGCTATCTTTCCAATATTGTTCCTATATTCTGTGGTCACCAAGTACCTTTTTACTTTACTCAGGGTCTGGTCATTTATTTGTTACTCTTAAAGACTAATTTTTGACTGGACTCAGACTTAGAAGTAAACTTTCTCAGTAAGAAGTGCCTATGTCTCTTGGCAATCTGTTCCTGGTGCTTTCCTTTGGCTTCCTGAATTCTTTTGGGCAAAAGTTTCACACTGTCTGCAGCCTCCTCCTTGTTTTCCTGCATTATTTCTTTAGAGCAACACATTAGTGTTTGTGTTGTAAGACACTGAATCTTGGGTGCTTTGGTCCTGGCATTCTTATCTTCCTTGTTTAAGGGCTTTCCGACAACGTATTGACAGACATCATCTTCTTTAGAGAGATTAAAATTTTACAGATCCTGCTAACTCTTTTGGACCCCAACCACCAAAGCACAGTTCTATATGTCAGTCCAGGACATACAGAACATCCTTCTCTTCTTTTTTACAGTAATCAAGTTGAGAACACTCAGATTCGAATCCACAGTGCAACTGTGAACAGACCTGCACTTCCTCTCTCCAGTTCTTCTTGGTCTGTGACAAGATGCCCCTTACTCAACAGCAATGCACTCTGCTGTGTCAAACATCCACACATCACCCAGAACATCAGCAGCTACTTCTGTGCCGTGCACTCCTCATGGGAAAGTGCTAAGTTTGTGTTTCCCCTCTTCTTCAATGAGTTTCTGACAGCTGGTAGCTGGGAAGGACATATTCAGCTTTACCTTGACACAGCCAACCACAAAGCAGATTCCTGAAAAGGACTCTCTCTCTCTCTCTCTCTCTCTCTCTCTCTCTCTCTCTCTCTCTTCAAATTTTTCTGTTCCATATCTTGATATGCACTTTTCTCCATATCGGTATAAGCCAAAGGACTCTTATTCTAAACCACTGATACTCTACTCCCTAGCTATATTTTGCTACAAATATTCACAATATTGTCAGCTGAGATTACACCTATTCTTACACAACAGAAAAGTACATTCACAGATAAATGATCAGTCACTGCCATGCTGCTTAAATAAATTCTAGTAGACAGAGCAGAAAGCAGTCTGAGACTGGCATGATAGCACATGCCTTTAATCTCAGCACTCAGGAAGGAGGTAGAGGCACATGGCTCTCTGTAGGTTCAAGGCCAGGCTAGTCTACATACTGAGTTCCAGGACAGCCAGAGATATATAGACCCCCCCCCCAAAAAAAAAAAACCTTTGATAATTAATTCCTTTGAATACACAGCAAGAGATATTTTTAGTGATACTGAAAGAGAGCAAGAGTTAGCTGGCAGGTGCTATAACTAGCTTTAGGGAGTGGCATCATAGAAAAGTATCATTTATAAGAAGTTCCTACAATATCAGAAACTTTTAAGGTTTACAAAGATAGTGAAGTTCCAAATAACCACAAAGAGACAGAATTCTTAAGAGTCATTAAGTGCTAAAAAAAAAAAAAAAAACGCTTCAGAAAATCAAGAGAAGGTTGGACAAGATGGCTCTTTTCCTTGGTTAAGGTCTTTCACACTAAGCCTAGAAACCTGGGTTCAATTCCTGGACTCTCACGGTAGAAGAGGAAACTTACTCCTGCCAAGCTAGTCTCTGACTTTCACATACATGCCAACACACACACACACACACACACACACACACACACACACACACACACACACAAAATAAATAAATGTAAAAACAAGTCAAGAAAGAGCTAAATATAAAACCTGCCTAAAAAGAAGCCTACAGACTCTCATCTGAGGAATTGTTAAAAATAGTTTCAACCAGGAGTTATGAAAGAATCCATAAAACATTAGAGGATGATTTGGTTGGGACTTGAGGACCAGGATGAAAAGGTCCTAAAGACAAAGACTACAGAGGTATGCATACTTCACTCTTCATCAAAATCTTTCCCACCAAACACCAAATGTGCAATTTTGGCACACTGTTTTCTTTCATTCAATTAAACAAACTTCAGAAAGACAAACAACAAAAGTGAAGGGAATTGTCTGTCTGTCTTTAGAATCAGGCATTTATAAAGTACTTACATCAGAACCCACACTTCTTGTGGTGCTTTGTAGGACAGGTTTAGTCATGGAAAGTTTGCCATTCACTGGACTATTCACCACAGGGGCTGGCACCACATTGACCACATGGTTAGGTAGCTGTGTGGCTCCTCCAGCGACAGCAAGAACTGGTTGAGCAGAAGGCAGCACCCCAGGGGCCTGAAGTTGAACCACAGCAGGCTGAGAGAGCAGAACAGTCTGACCTGGGTTAAGGGAAAGAAGGGAAATCAAGTTGTGCACAGCTACTGCATCGGGGAGTAGTCTAACAGACAGACAGATGAACCCTGAAGAACTTCACACCATTAAGTAAGTGTTACCAACAGCAACACACAGTAAGGGGAACTCTGATGTTGTCTTTGTAACAGGACCAACTAAGTTCATTCCCTTTGGGTTATCATTAATAAACTATTTTCAAGTCAGATATAGTGGTACATACGTAGATGAGAGGTTGAGGCAGAGGAACCACTCAGCCTGAAACCTGTGGATAGTTTGCACAGCACAGCAAGACTCAATTGAAAAAAAGTAAAAATGGCCAGGAGAGGTGGCTGAGGAGTTGAGAGCGCTCACTGTTCTTCAAAAGAGCCCAAATTTGATTGCCAGTGTACACAATGAGTAGCTTACAACTTCAACTTACAACTCCAACTCCAGGAGTTTTGACACCATTTTCTGGCCTCTTCAAGTACACACACACACACACACACACACACACACACACACACACTTTAAATTAAAAAACTTCTTAGCTGGGCAGTGGTGGGGCACACATTTAATCCCAGCACTTAAGAGGCAGAAGCAGGTGGATCTCTGTGAGTTCGAGGCTAGCCTGGTCTCCAGAGTGAGTTCCAGGACAGGCTCCAAAGCTACAAAAAAACCCTGTTTTAAAAAAAAAAAAAAAAAAAAAAAAAAAAAGAACATTTTTAAATCCAGCCTTGATGATGCAGGCCTGTAATTATAGTCACTATGCAGACTAAAGTAGGAGACTCAGAAGTACATTCAGACCCTCATCTCACAGAATAAATAAAGAGGACTGGGAATGTCGCTCAAGAGTAGAGGGCTTGCCTAGCATGCACAAGGCCCTAGGTTTAATTCCCAATACTGGGGAGAGGAGGAAAAACAATACTCACTAGAGACATGAACAAACCAGGTAGTAGTTCATTTTTATCTTTTTCAATATTCACAACAACACATAACAAATTCATTGTCATATCTATATTTTCCAGTATTAACCTCTGAAGTTTATTGGTTCTATATGCATTTTTCTTATTTTAAAAAATAAATCCTTTAAAATTTACAAATATATACACAAATATGTAGGAAAGAGTCAAGTGACTACAAATGCCAAGAAAATAGAAAACAGAGATGAAATTTTAGTTAACAGCACATTGACTGTCTGTCTATAAATAACATCAACGTTTCTGATCCCTGCCAAAACAATGACCCTCAAATCTTTTCCTAGTCTTTGCAGTTGTCATCCTCTTAAACCTGCACCCACTGAGGAGAACTCATCCCACTACCCTCAGGAAAGCATGTATAACTCATAACACTAATCTATGAAAACTGTACCTGCCTGTTTCCTTCCCTTTACAATTTTATAAGGTATTGAAAGGCTTGCCTAATATCCAGGTAGTTTGGATTTATCTAGCTAAGTAAAGGTACTATTATAACCAGAAACTGTAATTCAATATAAATTTATAATTTTTCTTCAGGAAAAGATAAGACGTTTTATGTTCAGGCAGTTTAAGATGACTTATAAAGCTTAGCTTCATATTTCAAAGGGTTGAGGAAAACTGAAAATCAAAATACTTTCAGAATACCTGTTTGTTGAGAACATCTGTCTTGGCTAAAAAAAGATCACATTTATGAAATAAAATTCTTTGTTTCAGTGACCTCAAAAAGCAGACCAGAGGTAGAATTAAAATGTTACCATTTTTTCCCAATTCAGTTATTAGAACTTATAAGTAGTAAGTTTGTAAGAAAACTTAAAATTAATTTCATAAATTTGACATACATATAATTTACTGGGGAATGACACTGCCAAATATATTTATCTTCTCGTTCTCCCCTAAACTGAATTCTGTTATAAAATAAATTCACATAAGTGGAGAAATAGGTTAAGGGCAGTTATAAAAGTATATGCTTAAGCCAGAAATACAAATAAAAGTAATAAATAAATAACAGAAGAACAAAGAGTGGGTTTTAACAACACTGAATAAGACAGTAACTCATTCTGGCATTAAAAAGATATACTTACTATAATATAAAACTGAAGCCAAGGATTTCTAACTAAATATACTTACTTCTCGGGACACTAGAATTTGAAGCCAGGGTCTTGCACAAGCCCAGGCAGGCATTCTACCACTAAACCTTGGAGTTTTTGCAACAGGATCTTACTATGTAGCTCAAAGCTGGCCTGCAACCTGCCATGTAGCCCCAGCTTAACCTCACTTCACAATCCTCTAGCTTCAACCTCCCAAGTGTTGGAATTACAGGTCCACACCACCATGTCCAAAAGTAATCTTTAACAACAAAGACACAGTTCAGCCATACAAGATGATCATGGTGTCTGTCAGTTCCCATGGATTATGAAAATGCATAATGAATTTGTATTAGGCATAACAGTATATGCTATAAATCCAAGCACTTGGGAGACAGAGACAGGAGGATTTTGATTCAAGGCCAGTTTTGGACTATGTATTTTTTTCTTTTTCCCTATTAAAATTTTTCATTTACATTACATGCCAACCAAGTTTCCCCTCCCTCCTCTCTTCTGTTCCCTCCCCACCTCCTGTCTATCCCCACCATTCACTCCTCCTCCATTCAGAAATGGGCAGGCCTCTCATGGGAGTCATCAAAGCATAGCATATCACATTGAGGCATGTCCAAGCCCCTCCCTCTGCATCAAGGCTGGGCAAGGCATCCCTACATGGAGAATAGGTTCCAAAAAGCCAGCTCATGCATCAGGGACTGGCCTATGTATTAAGACACCATCTCCAATACTTGGAAAAGGAACAACATTCTCAAAAACAATGTTCCATACCTTCTAAATTAAAATTATGATTAGAGCACCACCCCCACCCCCCACCTCCGCTGCTAAGAATTGTGCAAAACTTTGAGTCTAGTCCAAAGAACAGGGGAGATAATAAACACATAGAATTACTTCAAAGAAAGGGTCAGATCTGTAGACCCAGGACAGATTTAAAGCACTGGTAAATAACACTTGTGAATGGCTGTTAATACTCCTTAAAACTAATTGTAAAAAATAATCCAAAACTTAGTCTGACGGTACAGGCCTGTAATCCCAGTTTACTAAGAAGGCCGGGGAGGAGGGAATCACAACTAGGGCTTCTTCAAGGCCAACTAGGGCTACAGAGGAAATTCAAGGCTAGCCTAAGCAACTTAATAAGACTCGGTCTCAAAACAGAAAGTTAAAAGAAGGCTGGGGAATGTATAAATTTCAGTAGTAGAGCACTTGCCAAGTATGAACAGGGCCCTAGGTTCGGTCCCCATAACTGAAAAAAACAAAAGAGGAAGGGAGGGAGGGAGGGAGGGAGGGAGGGAGGAAGGGAGGAAGGGAAGAAGGGAGGAAGGGAGGAAGGGAGGAAGGAAGGATAATCCAATCTCATAGTCCACTGTCCACTGTCCCTATTTCCCAGCCAAGAGAATTACATCTTAGGGAGATAGAGAATTACCAAGGCAGTCTGTACACCAAACATGGTTCATATCCTACCAGGCCACTGCTGTCTCCCTTATTCCAGCTGCATTTTAAGCTCTTACACCCTAAAGTTCCCAACTGTCTTCATTTTATCTAAATCAAGAATCCTCTAAATATTTTAGGCATGTTCAAAACTATTGAAATACTAAATTTCTATTACAGTATGTTCAAAAGCAAAAGACTCCCATAATTACTTGCTAAGTGCTGACCAGGTCACAGACGACAATGCAAAGGACTGTTTGAGGTCTTCAGCAGTTAGCAGGGGAACATAGTGACTACTGTTCCTGGTGTGGAAACACACATAACAGAACACACCAAAGGGTTGTTTATCCATTTTGGCATACTCAAAATCCTCTTTAGCATTACTTGCAAATCCCCTTAATGGAAGACAGCTGGATTCAATGCTAAATGCATCTATATGTGACATCTTATTTTAATAGTCAGTTCTTTCTTTTTAACTTTCTTCAAAAATTTCAAACTACATATCAAACATTTATGAATTACCTACTTTGTTTTAAATAACATACTTGTGTCAACTTGGTCAAGTATTTCTTTGCACCAAGTTTTCTCATCTATAAAATGAAAATATTGATACTTATCCTGAGAGATATGTAACTATTAAATAAGATAATGCATTGAAGCACTTAGAAGAATTTCTGGCACATAATAACAGTTTAGCATACATTCTTTATTGATACTTTTTCTGTTTAATAGTAGCTTCCATGTATTATCAACTCATTAGTTCTGGTATTTGTTATGTAACTATTTATACAAATTTAAATCTCAAATTACAGGTAGAATTCTGAGAAAAAAAAACTGATTCCATTTCATCATTTTTTAGAAGGAATATCATAATTAACATAATTTAGAAGGAATATCATAATCAAGATTTGGCCAGCCAGACAACCTGGCTTCACTCTGGCATCCCTGCTTACTAGATGTCACTCTGTGAGTATACCCTAATTTCAGTGATTTGTAGTGTCATCAAAAAACATCTAAGACAGAACAGAGAGTCACCCAAGAGAGTTTCCTCTCTGTCCTTCCTGACTGTGTCCCTCCCACACACACTCCCACCATCAATTCTCAACCCTTACAATGCTAGGCTTTGTAACAGCTCTACTTCCCATGCTGGTTCTGCATTTTCAGATATTCTAGGCTTTAACCATCTTTCGACTGCACTAGTTATAACATTCTTACAGGGCACAGAAGACTTAGAAGCAAAAATATGTAGAAAAATAATTCAGGTTGGCAGAATACAATAGACAATGCCAGGTTATTTAGACTAGCTCAAAGTTCTATAGAAAATAATGCTGTTATACTATAAAGTTAGAAAACTAAATTGAAACCAAATTGTAAAGCACTTTAATCCCACATTAGAGAATTTGAAGTTAAACCTATAAATATTACATATTTGTCATTTTTCCTTTTTTTCCATGTGGTACATACATGTATGTTTTCATGTTTGTACACATGTGTGTTGAGGCCTGAGGCTGATGTCAGAAGTCTTCTTCAGTGGCTCTCCACCTTACTTTTTAAGAGGTCTCTCCCTGAAACTGGAGCTTATCAGTTGCACAGGCTGCTCAGTGACCTCTAAGGGATGTGCCTATCTCCATACAGGCAGTAAGAGTACCTGCTTTTTATGTGGGTGCTAAGCATCTGAACTCAGGTCCCCATGCGTATGTGGCAAGCATTTTATTGACTGAGCAATCACTCCAGCCCTTTCTTCCTCTCATTCCACTCTCAAATTAAACTAATAATAATAATGTATGAAAGACAAACATTTAATCTGCATGTTATAATACTAATACCAAAATCCACAGATTATAAAAACAATTTATATGAGCACATGCTCATCAAAATATAGACTTTAGATCATGTGAAATCATTGAAGTTCAGGATGCTTGATTTTAATCTTTGGAACTGATAAAATGCTTAGGAACGAATAATCTGTCTTTTGTTAAGAGTAAAAATCTCAACCAGTGGTAGTGGCACATACCTTTAATCATGGCTCTTTGGAGGCAGAGTCAGGGAGATCTCTGTGTTTGAGGCCAGCCTGGTCTACAGAGGGAGTTCAAGGACAGCCAGGGCTACAAAGAGAAACCCTGTCTCAAAAAAGCAAACAAACAAAAGGAGATCTCCTACCACTCAAACACAGCAATTTAAAGCAAACTCTTGAGGCTATTCCCTCCTTCACACACCACCATGTTAATGTCATGTGTTTTAATAGCTGTGGGAACTATAATGAAATTCTTTGTGAACTTAAATTCTTAGCCTTTAAAAAGACAAAAATCATTTTGAGGTCCTGGTAAGTTTTAAGTACTATACCAAAACTCCATATATGAATATACACTAAATCTTGTGCCTTATTTTAAGGAGTTTATGAAACCTTAACATCCATATACAAATCACAAGATCACCTATCCCATAGATTTGCTAATTTTCCTATTAAAAAAAAATAGGAGTATTGATCCTAAATGGAGGAAGGCATTTTGAACTATTTTGTCTATTAGTTTTGTTCTTTTATTGGGAATTATTTTTGTTTAGTTCTTTTTATTAATGTCCTATTGCCCATGGTCATTTCATAGACAAGGTTAATACACAAGATCAAATTTATGAAGCCTCCCCCATTGAAATCATGCTTCAGAGAAATGAGCTAATCACTCATAAATGCAAATACAGCCATAAAAATAAAAGTAACACTGATGTTTACTTACATATGCCCTATTAACTCCTAGTGCTAACTGGTACCAATAAATTCAATCCTGGGAAGTGAATACTGCATAAATTTTCTCATAGCCATGTGTACAGAGATCAATGTCAGTACAATGATGACTAAGCTGCCTAAGAGAGGTCCCATACCTCAATATTACCAAACCCTCAAACCTGCACTTCTTTAGATAGACTTCTTGTAGACTCACAGTACATGAGGCCATCTGGTGGGGAAAATACAGAAAAACACCCATTCTGAGCTCATTGGCAGTGGTCAGGCCTTCTAAAAACCTACTTCAATGCCTTGCAGACCAAACCACAGTCTCCTCAGAAATTAAGAGTCAGATTTATTGCTCAACACATACTTGACCTGAAATGGTTCTTATTATTTTAAACCCTAACCACCCCTTAAAGACAAAACAATATAAAAAGATCATAGCCACAGTAATCTCAGAATAAAATGGCAATACAAAAGGTCTCCCCAATTTTCTTCATTGTAAGTGGTTTCAAAATATCAAAAGCCTCAGTCAAGTGTGGTGCACACCTTTAGTCCCAGCACTCAGGAAGCAAAAGCAGGTAGAGCTGTTGATTTGAGGCCAGACTGGTCTACTTATAGAGTCCTAGGCCAGTTAAGTATATATAATGACACTCTGTCTCAAAAAAATAAGAGAAAAAAAGAAATCTACAAGAAAAAAAATAAAAGGTACCTTAAATACAGATATTATCACAATAAAAGCTGTAAGAAAACAAGAAACAACAGATATCATTGCTCTGTAGAGCTCTGTCTCTACAAGGCCAAGAACAATATTAGTCATCTCTGTAAAATCCCCAGAACAAGGAAATTTCCTGACACAATGGTGCATGCGCAAAAACTATAACCCAAATTAAAATAAACCATGTGACATACCCTTGTATTGCTTTCCAACAACTATAGAGCACCATAGTCTACACAGGTACCTTTGGTGGGTGCAGGCTGTATACTGATAATCGATGATTGCTGCTTTGCCAGTGGCATAAGGGCTGGTAGTGTCTGAATAATGATGGTTTTTGCTGGAACACCAGCATTTGTTTGAGTCTTGGGAGCTGCTGGAAGTAATAAAGGCTTGGGCTGAACTGAAGGTTTTGAACTCATCTGATTTTTTTTCTTTGGAGTCAGTCCATGTTCTGGAGGGAAAAAAAAACTTCAAATCAATCTGAAGAAAATTAAGAAAACATATAATATTACATACTTTCCTCTATATATTATCTTGACTTCTAGTAACAATCATCAGTGAATGTAAACCCAGCTACTCTTTAAATGAATGGACTGCAGAAAAGTCCATTCAGTCTGGGATTGTCCTCTCTGCAGTTTGGGCAAGGGGGACCAGGAACTGTTAAGGATCATGCTAAAATTACTGAACAAAGTCTAGACTTTAAGGAGGTAAGAGTCATCACCTCTCATATTTGGTGTCTTAAACTGGACCTTTACAACCTCTCCTGAAAATGACAGAATCTGTGTCTATTTTAAGAATTCTTCATCTATAAAGACAAGGACCATCACAAAAAGATTTCCCCCCTTGTCCTCTTCACAGTAATCATTCACCACAACAAAATAACATATACCAATTTAGGGGCTAGAGAGATGGCTCAGCACTTAATAGTATTGGTTGCTCTTCAAGAAAACCTGAATTCTGGAACAGCTTACAACTATCTATAAATTCCAGTTCCAGGGGATTTGAAGCCCTCTTTTGGCCTCTGGAGGCAGGAGGCATACAGTTGGTTCACAGACATAAATGCAGATAAAACACTCATATACATAAAATAAAATGATACACTAATTAAAAAATATATGCTTAATCCAATATTCATCTTTTTAAATGGAACCTAAGTTATCTAAAACAGAAATAACAGAAATTGGGAGACAGATAGATACCAGTTTTGTTCCCAGGACCAATGACAGGCTTGTCTTCCTTCAGTGGCTCCACTGAGGATGGGCTATTACAGCTTTCACCATATAAGGAAAGAGGAGACTGGGAGCTGGAAGACAAATCCAACTCCTCCTGCAGCAAAACACAAACAAATTAATGTCCAAGAGCACAATCTCTGAGCAACAAATTACTTAGAAAAAGAACAAGATTATATGTAAACAGAAAAGTGCTGCAAAGATAAAGTCTAGTGGCTACTGATAAGTCAACACTCATCAACCACAAGGATGTAATTCAAAATGCAGCATCTGTATGCCACACTCATGTAGTCAACAGAAATCATTCATCTGTTTCTCCACTTCTTCCCACAAATCTTGGATCTTACTTGATTCTCAGTCATACATTTACTGATAATCATAAGGCTAGAGCTACAATTAATATACTTTCCCATTTCTTTTATTCATGTGTTATTCTTGTAGAGAACTCAGGTTCAGTTCCCAGTATCCACAGGGTGGCTTGAAACCATCTGAAACTCCAGTCTAGGGTATCTGACACCCTCTTCTGATCTCTGCAGACACTAGGAGTGGTGATATTTTGTTTATGATATAACAAATAAAGCTTGCCTGAAGATTAGAGTGCAAAGCTAGCCACATTAGTTAGCCACAGAAGCCAGGCAGTAGTGGCACACACCTTTAATTCTAGCACTCGGGTGACAGAGACAGACAGATCTCTGTAAATTCAAGGCCTCCCTGAGCTACATGAAATCAATCTAGTCTAAAAGAGAAATGGAGCTCACACAAAGGTGATCTGAGCACTTGGGATCCCATGCCTTTAGTCCCAGAACTAGAAAGGAATCTAAGTTGGGAGGAGACAGGAGCTCAAAGCAGTCTGAGGTTTGGTGGAGACAGATGCAGTCTGAGGACAGGATCCCCCCTTTGGTCTGAGCACTGGTAGAGGTGAGAACTCTCTAGTGGCTGGTTGCTTTGCTTCTCTGATCCTCAGCTTTAACCAGAATATCTGTCTCTGGGTTTTTATTATTAATACCTACTAGAATTCGTGCTACACTAGGTACACACATGGCATACATACATACATGCAGGCAAAACACTTTATACACATATAAAATAAAATAATCTAGAACAAAACCTTTTTTAAAAAAAACTTAAAAATTAAGCCAAGAAGGAAATGGGGGTAACTGAAAATTAAGAATTTCCATTTAATAAAGACTACAAAGTTGGTAGTTAATAGGGAAATGAGATCAGCAATGTCCAACTCAGCAAGAGTTTGAAACTTCAGAGATGAGGAGATGGCTCACTAAAGAGCTGGGAAGCCCAGTGCTAAGAAAGTACAGACAGGAGGATCCCTGGGGCTCTCTGGTCAGCTGCTTGGTCAGTTAGGTCCTAAAATGATTGAGGCTGTCTCACATGGGTGAGGTATTCCTGAGGAACCAGCCTCCTTATACACCAACACACATGCAGGAATCACAGAACACAGAGTTTAATATCTTAACCATGCATCTGATTCTTGAAAAATAACACAAAAATGACAGCAAATCTATAGAGAAACTATCAAAAGACAAGAATGAACCATTTATAGAAGATCAAAAGTACAACGGGCAGTGGTGGCACATGCCTTTAATCCCAGCACTTGGGAGGCAGAGGCAGGCGGATCTCTGTGAGTTCGAGACCAGCCTGGTCTACAAGAGCTAGTGCCAAGACAGCCTCCAAAGCCACAGAGAAACCCTGTCTCAAAAAAAAAGTACATAATGAAAATGTAGAGACAATTTGAAAGCAACCATAATCAAAGAAGTAAAAATTAAACAAAAACAAAAAGATTTGCCATCTGGCAAAATCCAGAAAACCAGATAATGTCAATCATTAGCAGAAAAGCTCCAAGGCTCCCAAACACGCTGATGAGCCTGCAGAGTGACTACAACAACTCCTGAAGCGCTGAGGAAGCATATCAAATTGAGTGTCTGTCGCCTGCCACCCACTTTTTCTACTCTTGGACATACTTCCCAATATTCTTCATGGTGTGGGCAAAATACAGTGAATGCTTATTGAAATGTGCAGTTAGATGCAACAGATTTGATGTATACAGAGCAATATGAATTAATCTTTTTTTAAAGATTTTATTTATTTATTATGTCAGCAAAGGGTACCAAATCTCATTCAAGGTGGTTGTAAGCCACCATGTGGTTGTGAGGAATTGAACTCAGGACCTCTGGAAGAAGAGTCAGTACTTTTAACCACTGAGCCATCTCTCCGGCCCTAGCAATATGTATTAATCTTTAAAAGTAAATGGAAACTTATAACCTCATCACTCAAGCAGCTAAAGCAGAGGATCACTGAGTTCAAGGCTAGCCTGAACTGCAAAGCAAGACTCTGACTCAAAACTCAAAATATAAACTAATAATAATAAATATTTAAATAGGAAATCTAATATAATACCACCTGTATAAATTTAAAATGTATGCCTGCAACTGAAGTCAGTGAGGGGAAAATAAAGTTTTAATAAATGATACTGAGATAAACCTTTTGATAATAATTTGGAGAAACATAAAATTGAACCTGTATCTTACAGCACATACTAAGGCAATTTCAAATTAATCTGAGATCTATATTTTAAAAATAAAACCTTATGATAAATTTGTATTAACACAAAGGAAATATTCTTTCCTGAATAATATAATCACTTGCCACTAGATGGGGCTGCAAAACCACCATCCATATTTGGGGGACTTGTCAGAGTACCAGAAGGGTAAGGAAAACATTCACAAGGGAAACCTGTGATCTGAGAAGTCAGGGCAAGGGTGAGTCAATGGCCCAGGAGACAGCCTTGACATAGGATGGTTGAGCCCAGTGAAATAGTAAAATATCCCAGTAGCAATAGGAAGGGACCCCTAATGACTAAATACAAGACAACACAAAAGTCAGAATAAATAATCATAGCAATGGGTCATAATCTAAATGAAAGGGAAACAATGAGTCCACACTAATATTAACAGACAAACAAGTAACATAAAGTCAGAGTACTGACTTTAATTTGCAGAATTCACATGGCAAAGGATCTGACTTTCACACATACCCTGTGACCCATCCATACATCACACACACACACACACACACACACACACACACACACACACTCTAAAAATGTAAACGTTCGTTTTTTAAGAACAGTACTTTTTATGATTTTAAAGTACGCTTTTCATAAAATACTGGCAACTAGCAAAGGGAGCAAGAGTAACTTCATAGCTGCGATTCTAGCAGGTACTGTCAGCTGGCTGAAATAAACATCGCCAGTAACAGAATAAGCTGAAATGGTATCACCAAACTGAAGTTTTATCATCAAAAATAAATGAGAAGGTAGACTGTGGGTGTATTATACCTATAACCTCAGCACCTGGAAGGTGGAGAAAGGAAAATCAGGAGTTGAAGGTCATCTTCTACTACATAGTAACTTTAAAGCCAGCTTGAACTAGGCAGGATCCTATATCAAAAAACAAAACTAAAACAAACAAAAGGCAGACACAGAATCACTTCTGTGACATTCTGCCATAGATACAAAATATGAATCAAATCCTGAGGAAACATCTGGCAATCCAAGTGACAGGTCATTAAAACACATAGTTCAAGAAGGAAGAACTGTTCCAGAATAAAGAAAATTGAAATATTAAGACAACCAAATACAATATAACTGGATGCTTTTGCTGATCTAAAGGACAGTACTGGGCATCTGATACAATCTAAATGGGGGCTACATCTCAAATTATTAGTAATGTATCAATGTTTAGTTCCTTCTTTTGATGGCTGTATTGCTGAATAAAAAATAGTCTTGTTCATGGGAGGTAGACATTATAGTATTTGGAGTTCAGTTCACCAGTGGGCAACTGCCTCTCAAATGGCTTAGACAAAATTTCCACAATATACTTGCAATTTTAAGGTTACTCCAAACAAAAAGACAATGTAAGCAAGAGAAAAAGAATAAAAACAGCTGGGAGGTGGTGGCACACATCTTTAATACCAGCACAGAGACAAAGGCGAGTAGATGTGTGAGTTCAAGGTCAGCCTGGTACACAGTGAGTTCCAGGACAGCCTGGGCAAAACAGAGAAACTCTATCTCAAAAAACAAACAAACAAAAAATAGTAATAATGATAAATAAACATTAGAGATTGTCTTTATGAGTGTTAAAAAATCTTTTGAGAAACAGGAGGAGGAAGAACAGAAGGAAAGAAGGAAGGAAGTAGAAGGCAGAAAAAAGTTAAGGATGAAAAAGAGAAAGAGAATCAATAAGAATAATAGCAGTACTAGTAATAACTATAATAATAAATATATTTTTATTTATAATATATTTATATATTAGCTTATATATTTATATAATTATATCATATATTTATAAAATATAAATATATTTATTTTATATAACTTATACTTTATAGTTATTTATATTTTATAAAATATATTTTTATTGAATATTTCATATAAATATAAATGAAAAATAATAAGGAATAGAAAACCAGACTGGGTGTCCTGGCACACATTTTTAATCATCTTAGCACTCAGAAGGCTGAGGCAGAAGGATCTCTACAAGTCCAAGACCAGCCTGATCTCCCAAATGAGTTCCAGGTCAGCCAGGGTTGTCTAGTGAAACCCTGCCTCAAAAAGAAAACAAAAACAAAAACAAAAACAAAAAAAAAAAAAAGAAGGAAAAAAAGAACTAAGGCCAGACATTGTATCACATTCCTACACTGAATCCAGTCTGGGCAACACAATAAGACTCTCCCTATAACAGAACCCTACAATCCTTGAACTTGGGATGCTGAGGCAGCAGGATCACAAGTTTGAAGCCTCCTCTGACCATTGTGATGGTTTATATTGATTACTAACTTGAAAACAAATCTCTAGGCATATCTGTGAGGGGGTTCTGATTAGACTGAGATGGGAAGACCCACCCTAAATGAGGGCAGCACCATTCCTGAGCTAAGGACCTAGGCTTCAAACAAGAGAGAGCAAGCAGAACAGGACACTCATCTGCCCTCTTTCTGACCATGGGCACAATGTGACCAGTGGCCTCACTCTCTTGTGGCAAGCCTTCCCTTCCAGGATAGACTGTGAAACAAAATAAACCTTTACTTAAGTTGTCCTGGTTAGGTATTTTGTCTCAGCAACAAGAAAAGTAACTAACATAGCTCCAGGGTCAGATGCTGTCTCAATTTTTTTTTTTTTAATTCCCCCAAATTGTAAGAACCCAGACCAGTATTGCAAAGTGCCTAGCACAAGTTCTCAGAAAAAGTCACTGGTTCAAGCTAAGTGGAGTGTGAAGATGGGAAGCACAATGCAAGAAAGGTAAATACGGTCATGACTCAGCACACAGGGAATTTGAATTTCATACCTGAAATATCTGGAAGTTATTAAAAAGTTTTAAAGGAAAGAACATAGCCAATTTTGTAATCTTAAAAGATTCAAAAGATGATTCTACTGGGAAAGCTGTGGAGAGTTGGTAGGCAGACCACCATTTAAAATCCTAGTGACTTTCATCCTAAGGTCAGATGATGATGGCCTAGAAAAGGTTTAAAAAAAAAAAAAAAACTAATCTTAAAAATATTAAGTGAAGAGAGGGCAGGAGAGATGATTCAGCAGGTAAAAATGTTTGCCATGCAGGCCCAAAAAACTCAGTCTGATCCTCAACATGGGAGGAGGAAAGAACCAGCTCCTGAAGGTTCTCGTCTCCCTTATATACTGAACAGAATCACCAACATTTAGAAGCTGGCTAAATACAGAACCTGCCAGAATAAAGATGCCTCAATTTAAAACAGATAAAACTTATGAAATATTTATTTGACTTTTTTTCTTATATTTTACCTTCCCCATTATTTAATCAGGTACTTGATTTTCTTGACCTCAAAGCTGAGACAGACACACTCCAAAGGAGCTACCAGACTTTTGTGAAAATCTTAGCTCATTTGAAAGACAATGGTAGGAGTTCCTGAACTAAACAGATCATATCCCAAATTCTCTGAGCCAGGAATTACAGATCTTACATTCTTCCATGCCCTTAAGAATGTGTCCTCTAATAGAGAGGAAAGTAAATGCAGGAAGAAAAGAAAATAAACCAATAAGAAAAAACTATTAGACATTAAGGAAGCACATCCACACAAGTCCCTTGTCAAGTCTCATTTTCCTCATAAGAATAAGGTTCCTCAAAATACTTCATGAATGTACTGCCTCACAAACATACATTTTCCAGACAGCATTATAACCCAGTTCATTACAAAAGACCAGCCACTTACAGGAACATGCTGAGTTGAAGAACAAGAGTCTACGGAGCGAGGAGATGAGACTGAACAACTTGAGGAAGCTGGAGAGAGAGGCTGGGGCTCTGCCTTAATATCTTTAACTGAAAGACATGGAGAATGCATTTTACACACAAATCCATACACATTCAGAACAATGAGTAAAAAAGAAGGTAAAATGGTCTCTTAAAATTCAATCAGTAGTGAGGAGAAGGCTACAAAAATGTGTCATTTGAATGAAAAACTCCGGGTCAGAAAGCAGTGTACACTTCTACTCCTGTAGGAAGCTGCATCTGTACTAACTCTAGGAGAGACAAAAAGAAGAAACCAGTTACATAACTGTTACTTCCTTTCCTTTTTTTCTTTTTTCTTTCTTTCTTTCTTTCTTTCTTTTTTTCTTTCTTCTTTTTTTTTTTTTTTTTTTTTTTTTTTTTTTTTTTTTTTTTTTTTTTTTTTTTTTTTTTTTTTTTTTTTTTTGGTCTGGAGACCAGGCTGGCCTCGAACTCACAGAGATCCGCCTGCCTCTGCCTCCCAAGTGCTGGGATTAAAGGCGTGTGCCACCAACGCCCAACTTGTTACTTCCTTTCTTGGCTGAGCAACAAGAATAGGTGAAATACTCTTCTTCTACTCTATAAACGTTTCTATGTTTTCAATATTATACCATATACAAAAAGCCAGTTATGCAGAAAGAGAAAAGAAACATCTAAATCCTACTATCCTACCCATCTAAATCCTACTATCCTACCCATCTAAATCCTACTATCTACCCCCTTTATTTCATGTACTTACTAATTTTACTTACTTCCTGCCTCCTATCAGAATATGGAAAACACAAAGTCAATACTCTCTCCAGAGTTTTGGCTTTTTGCTACATTTTTGGCTTTTGTTTGTCTGGTTGACCAGTTGACTGGTTATTGATGTTGCTGTTGTTTGGAGTGCTGAATGTCAAACTCCAGGCTCTGTGCATGCTAGGTAAACACTTTACCACTGAGCTACATGCCAAGCCAGTTTTCTAATTACTACTGTGTAACTAGATCTAAGAAGCTTAAAATAAACATCTTATTAGGTCTCCAGAATCTATGGATCAGGAATCTGGACTGGAGAACACTCTTGTAACCCATATTCTATGAGGGAAGACAGGAATTGAGAAAATAAGAATATAAAATGGCCAGCCATTGGTGGCGCCCACCTTTAATCCCAGCACTCGGGAGGCAGAGGCAGGCGGATCTCTGTGAGTTCGAGGCCAGCCTGGTCTCCAGCGCGAGTGCCAGGATAGGCTCCAAAGCTACACAGAGCAACCCTGTCTCGAAAAACCAAAAAAAAAAAAAAAAGAATATAAAGAGTAGACATAGGAAGGGATTTTTTCAAGGAAAATATTCTGGTTATATATACACTCTATCTCAATTCCTATAATCTGTGGGGCTAATTATTAATATATTTCTAAGCCAGCTTCCTTTTAGACAGTGTAGATGGGGCACATGGGAAGGGAACATACTAGAAGACCGGAGAAAATATTTTTCAATTTCTCTTATAAGCTTTTTCCTATCAGTAACAACCTGTTCCAGGTCCTTTCAGTATATTCAAATCCAACCTTATCAAGCTCCCTTAAAAATATCAGTGCACATGCCTTTAATTCCAATGCTTGGAAGCACAGGCAGGCGGAAATCTGTGAGTTCAAGGCCCGCCTGGTCTACAGAGTGAGTTCCAGGACAGCCAGGGCTGTTACACAGAGAAACCCTGTCTCAAAAAACAAAAAACAAAAACAAACAAACAACAAAGAAGAACAATTTCTTGCAAAAAACAAAACAAAACAAACAAACAAACAAACAAACAAAAACTATGAGCTCTGGGTTCAGGGAGAGTCCCTGTCTCAAAGAAATAACTCAGAAAGTAACAGGGAACTAGAGAGATGACAGTTATGAACACTTGCTGTTCTAACAGAGGACCTGGGTTTGATTCCCAGCACCCACATGGCAGCTCACAACTGTCCATAATTCCAGTTCCAAGCGAGCTGATGTCCTCTTTTGACCTCCAAAGGCACCAGGCACTCACATGGTGCACAAACATACAGGCAAACAAAGCATTCATACACAAAAATAAAATAAATAAACCTAAAAAAAAAGTTTCTAAGTGAGAAGAAGGGACCCAATTCCTCTAGCCTCTACACACGCATGTATATACTACAACAACACACACACACACACACACACACACACACACACACACACACACACACACACACACACACACGGCAATTCAAGGGAATAACTCATATCTAGTTAACAAAGAAGGTAATATGTATTACTAAGAAAAAGCTATAAGTTGGGAGAATGTTATTTTCTTTCAAAGAAAAAGAAATCTAATATTTTTTCCCTTAGTAGGGTGGCTCATGGGCCTTAAATAGCAAAACTGCAGAACAAAACCTGAGCAGCTAAGAAGCTGCATGAAGTCATAGAAAATAAAACCTCTGAGAGGGCTCTCATGTAATCACGCTATCCAAGGGTAAAGGGAATTATAAATTTTGTCCAAAAACAACCCAAAAAACAAAACTGAGAATTAGGGCTAGAGACATGGAGCAGCAATTTAGAACTAACTAATCAAAAACAAAAACTGACTGATCCTCTTAAAGACCCAGGTTCAATTCCAAGCACCCACATATCTCTAGTTCCAGGAAATCAGACACCCTCACTGCTCTCACACAGCAGTGCACAGACATATATGAAGGCAAAACACTAACACACAAAAATTTTAAATTTAAATTTTTAAAAATTAAATTGAACATTGAATTCCAAAGTAAACTGTTGTAAAACTGCAGTTGCACTTTGTTCAAATAACAAGGATCTTATGGTGTATTGATCTGCTCTGAATTACAGACTGTGAAGGTTTATTATTATACACCAGGTAATCCATATAGGAGACAAATACAATGTTTTAGCCAATTTCCTGTTCTTTCTGTTGTCATTACAATATTTTGGTCACTTAAAAAATATAGCATTAGCCAAGTTGTGCCCCCTCCTCAGAAGGATGAACATCAAATGCAGGGAACCCCACTATCAGGCTCCTCACTGCTAGTAACCCTAGCCTCATCCTTTTCATTTAATAAACCTTATTATCCAGGATTTTCTAACCCACTTAATTCCGAGTATTACCAAACTATACCAAGATTCTGGCTAGGCATTTAAAGGTAAAGCATGGTTACCTGAGCAGAAGTGGCTGCTGGAGCTCCAAATGTCTGACTCCCAAGGCATCAAATCCAAATCAAAGTTAAGATGATCAAAATTATTTTCCTGTAGGTGTCAAATCAGAAATTATTAGAATGAAATACACACACCTTGGAATAAAACTGTCAGACACAGTTTATGGTAAATGATATAATTGCTACTACTCAATCTAATAAAAAGAATGTAAGCCAACCACTTCATTCTAAAGGGGTAAGTACTATAAGATGATGTTCTTTTTCCCCCTACCACTCTGTGGTTCTCAAACTTCTAAAATCTTCATTAATTCAACAAACAAACCTAAAAGCCATTTTTAAGGTCAGTAAGACAGCTCAGCAATTAAAGGCTGAGGATAAGTTCAGAATTCTATAAGCAACCAGCTATTCATGCACTAATCAAAAAAAAAAAAAAAAGAAAGAAAGAAAATCAAAAAATAAGCCATTTTGATGGTCCAAAGCATTACAATAAGTTATTTTTAATTTATGTCAATGTGTTTTGCCTGCGCGTATGTCTGTGCAGCATGTGTGTACAGTGTCTGTGGAGTCTAGAACTCTGGAACTGGAGTTACAGGCAGTTAGTGTTAAAGGCCATATGGGTGCTTGGAATTGAACCAGGGTCCTCTGAAAGAGCCTACAATATCAGTTTTATATAGTTCTCTGACCAATCAAAAACAAAGGTAAGGATATAACTATTTTTCAGAGCTCTTAAAAAGGAAGTTTTTAAGACAACAAAAGGGCTACTAACATTCCTGATTAATGATGTCACTTAACTACTAGCCTGAACCTACTGTCCTGAAATCCTCATGCATTAATAACAGTACAGATGAAACATCAAGTTATTCACTATTTCTCCTCCAGTAAGTACTTACGTAAGTTTCATTTGCTGCATCGAACTGTACCTCATCATTATCTGTGAAATAGCCAAGCTCAGCAAACAACGTAGACTCTTGAATAAAGAAGGAAAAAGAAAAGCAACTGTCACTCATGAAACTGACAGTGAAATAAGCTCTGCACCCCGTGGCAGACCTATTAGTTTTCCATTAGGCAATGACATGAGGATATTGGCTTAGCTCCCATAACATATGCAAAACCTGGGTACAGTTGTACATATCTGTAATCCCAGCACTGGGAAGCCAGACAAAGGTGGATCCCCAGAGCTTGCTAGCCAAATCAGTGAGCTCCAGTCTCAATAAGAGACTCTGTCTCAAAAACACACAAAAACAAAAAATGGAAGTGTGATAAGATGGCTCAGCAGTAAAGGCATTTGCTGCACAAGCGTGATGACCTGCGTTCTATCTCCATAAGCCATGTAAGGGTGGAAGGAGAACTAACTCCACAGGGTTGGCCTCTGGTCTCTGCACATGCACTTCAGTGTGGTCACCCTCACCCCAACACACACACACACACACACACACACACACACACACACACACTCTAAAATTTATTGAAAAAAAAAATAAGGTGGAAATGACCAAAGAAGACACCCAACATGTGTGCACACGCGCGCACACACACACACCCATGCACTCAAATATACACACACAGGAGTAAGTACATAGAAAATGCCTATGTAGATAATAAAAGACTTGCCTAAATTTTGGTAAATTGAACTATATTCTAATTTCTAGTGAAGTTTCTTTATAAACCAAGAAAAATATGAACAAGAAAAGACTCTTCAGTAATCTACATTAAAAAGACTTAGAAGAAGGTCAAGATGCTGACAAGGCCTGATACTTCCATACAATCTGCAAAGTTTCCCTTCCCTAAGTCTTTAAAGAGTTTCCCAGCCCCAGGTCCTCCTTTGCACTAAAACTCCATTGCCAGTCCACTTACCTGTTAGTGATGATTTCAGTTAGAATGGCACCCATAGACTCAAACATTTAAATGCTTAGTCCCCAACTGGTGAACTGTTTAGGAAGGATTAAGAGATGTAGCCTTGTTGGAAGTGTGTCACTGGGGTAGGGTTTGAGGTTTCAAAAGGCCATGCCAGACCAGTCTCACTCTCTCTCTCTCTGCTGCCTGAAGATCAGGATATAAGCTCTTAACTACTGCTTCAGTGCCATGCCTGAGCCACGCTCCCAGCCATGACAGTCATGGACTAAATCTCTGAAACTGTAAGCAAGCTCCCCTCCCCAGTTAAATGCCTCTTTTTATAAGTTTCTAGGTCATGGTGTAACAGAAAGTAACAAAGACACTGACCAATAGCAGAACTCTCTCACCAACTAAATAGAGAACAGCAATAGTGTATAGATAGCAATAATGCCAGGCTATCGACACAGTTGTCAAAAGAGGCTACTTTAAACTCAGCTCCAGAGCCCAAAATCATGCATATAGAAGGCTGTGAGGATGTGTCTTAAGCTAAAACTCGCCTCCAAGTTTTCTGCATTTGCTGTCTCTCATGTCTTCCCATTCCTTCTTAAATCTTATCCAGTCAAGCACCCTACTCCATACACAACAGCTATTAATGTCACCAGTGACCTCCATACTGCTAAATTCAATGGTAAATTCACAGTCTTTACCTCTCCTGACCAACCAAGAGGCATCTGACAGTTTAATTCTTTCCTATTAATTGAAACCTTTTCTTCTCTTAGTCTCCAAAGCACTGCATTCCCCTGATCTCCCTCCCACCTCACTGGTTGACCCTACCTTAATGGTCCCCCACACACACAAACCCCGCCAGTCTCTCTAACTGGAAACTGCCCCTGGACTCAGCATAAATTTTTCTATCAAACATTCTCTCTTTGAAACGCCAAAGAACTCATAGCTTTAAATAGGATCTCTACACCAGGCATTGCCAAATATATATCTCCAGCTGATAATGTCAAAAAGCATGGATAACACACTATGCTTACATTTCCTTGTGATTGTTTAAAAGGTACCTCCAACTTAGCCCACTCCAAAATGAGCTCTCATTACTTCTACCAAACCTTCTACTGTTTCTAATTGTCACTTAATGGCATTCAATTCTCTTAGTGGCTCAAGCCAAAAACCCTAGAAACACTGTTTACTCCTCTCCCGTGCTCTCTGTATTAGATCTACTTCCAAAGTCTATGAGCTTCCTATTCAAAACATGCGTATCCATAATCTGACTCTTACCTTTCATCCCAATCGTCCTTTCTTCCCCAGCCTCCCCCACACAAAGAAGCCAGCTTCTAAGACAACCGAGCAATGAGGCTGCTGGGGTTTATGCATAGTCATCTGCAGGAAAGTGCCTGGTATCCAAAGAAATGGTATGGTGGTGAAGAGCAGCTTGCCTGATGTAGGTGGCAATATTCCCTAGGCGCCAATGAAATGGAGCTGATGGGAGGGAGAACAACCTGACAGATGGAAGAGACTGCCTGAGTAGTCAGGATTACAGTTAACAATCCGCTAACTGACGAAGTAGATGAAGAAGCATATCTAAAAGAACCCAAGTGAGATATCTCACTGTCTGACGGAGGATTCTGAAACATGGAGAGGGGAAGGCTACAACTATAAGTTGTTGGATTGAAATAATTAGTAAGTGACCTAATTTTAAATATTCATATACAGCCAGGAATGGTGGTACATAAGTATAATCTCAGCTCTTGTGAGGCAGTGGTAGGAGAATCTGCGAGTTCCAGACCATCCTGTGCTACATCCTAGTTGCAGACAAGCCTGGGCCACAGAATAACAACTGTCTCAAAATAAATATGAAGGAGAGAAGGAGATCATTAAAGATGTTTGTGTGTATGTATGCATAGAGACATGCATTCATTTCCCAGTCAGTCTGCTGACAGAATAGGACAATGACACCCCAACAGAATGAAAATAATGTGCTCAGATACTGGATATTAAATACCATCCTCCACAAGAAGGAAATCACTAAGGGGCTCTTTGGAGAAAAGGCTGACTCGGAACACAGAACATACAAAATAAGCCTTGTATTTGGGAAATCTTTTTTTTTTTTTTTTTCAGACAGGGTTTCTCTGTGTAGCTTTGGAGCCTGTCCTGGCACTCGCTCTGGAGACCAGGCTGGCCTTGAACTCACAGAGATCCGCCTGCCTCTGCCTCCCGAGTGCTGGGATTAAAGGCGTGTGCCACCAACGCCCGGCGTATTTGAGAAATCTTGATGTGTCTTTTTAAGAAGGAAGAAAGGAAGGAAGGAAGGGAGGAAGGGAGGAAGGAAGGAAGGAAGGAAGAAAAAGAAATTCTCAGCAAAAGACAAGAACATAAAAAAAAAAAAAAAAAACAGTGGCCATAGCTCTGTAGCAGCATTCCTGCCTACCATGTGCAAGGAAGGCCCTGAGTTCAATCCCTAGTACCTCATGGACACACAAACAAACATGAATATGTCAAAAGACCAAAGACACTAACATGAATGAACTCCCACTGATCAAACCTGAGAAAATCTAAACATTAAAGTAAAACTTTACAATTCATTAAGATAAAAAAATTTCAATGAATTCACATGGAAGGAGAAGGAAGGGGTGCTCTTTCTAATGGTATAAGCATTGCAAAAGCAGGTGGATCTCTTTCACCTGAGTTGGAAGTAAGCCTGGTCTACAAAGTCAGTTCTAGGACAGCCAGGGCTATACAGATAAATCCTGTTTGAAGGAAAATAAAAATAAAAAACAAAGAAACCACACCTAGCTGAGCCTGTTGAAGAGTTAGAGGTGTAGTTCCATCAGTAGAGTGACTCCTACACGAGGCTATAACCTCGCACCTGGGAGGCAGAGGCAAGAGGACGTAAGTTCAAGGTTGTCCTCCATCCTTAACTACATAGACTATAAGATTCTGTTTAAAACAAACAAACAAAACTTTTAAAAGGGATGTTGAAAACAAATATGGCCAACAATATATAAAAGCAGCCCCCAAAAAATTATAACAGGATTGAAAAATCCCTATCACCTAGAGAAATCAGGGCTAACACACAGTCTTATGATGATGCATGCTCAAGTATTTGTGGTAGTGATGTGTAAACAACCATTGTGAAGCTCACAAAGTACACAGTTATGTATAGTATACACATAATCTTAATAATGACAACCAACAACTATGTTATTAGTTTAGAATTTGCTACAGTACACTTCTTATCCTTACTTTAATAGTATGCTCCCTCTATTTATTAAAATGGTGAGCTATGTTACACTGGCAGACATACATCTTACATCTACTGCACCTTAATTGCATTATTTTCTCTTATATTTTATTTAATTTCAGATTGTTTTGTTCACTGTGGCCATAAGAGCCATAGGCTATTGTTGCTGGAATTTTTCTTGTCCCACCTGGTCCCGCCACCCTTCTCAGCCCCAAATAAATACACGGATGCTATATTAATTATAAAAGTGTTGGCCGATGGCTAGGGCTTCTTACTGGCTAGCTCTCTCTTAATTATTAAGCCATATCTATTAATCTAAGTATTTCCACATGGCCTTACCTTACCAGTGAATGTGTGTCCTATCCTCCTGGTTTCTAAATGGCATTTCCGCCGTCTCCCTCTGCCTACCTTTCCCAGAATTCTCCTCGTCTCCTAGTACCACCTATCTTCCTGCCTCTATTGGCCAAACAGTGTTTTATTCATCAACCAATAAGAGAAACATATACAGAAGGACATCCCCCATCAGGCTATAGCATTTATGTGTGTGTTATATATGCACATATGTATCAGACAATCTTTGTAAGCACATGCCACACTATGATGGTCACACAGCATACTTCTCAAAATGTGTTCCTCTTGTAAGTGATGGATGACCATAGTTAATGCAAGGTTAGAAGGAACCTTGTGGTCTGGCTTAGAACTATAAATATTGTCATGCATTCATGTTTTTTTTTTTCAAATAAACATCCCTTGTTCTTAAGAAATATCTGGTAAAGTATTTAGGAGTTTCATTCTACATGTTTGTGTTTCGGGGGAAAGAGGAAGTGTGGGTAGTAATGAGGCACAAAGTAATTGGGACAGGATTTTAGCAGTTGGTGCAAAAGATA